TCCTTTATTTGCCAAATTGCACTATCGATTCGAGCAGGAGGAAGAGATTGGTCGTGTCATGCACCTTGTGTCAGAACTTGTTTGTGACTTTTTCATCAAGGTGCTTCCCAAGTGGGTTCTTGACCACTCGATCTTGTGGGAAGAGTTTATGATTTTGGATCCAGACACAAATCTCCCAGCCTACAAGACTTCAGAGGCCGCCTTACAAGCAGAAAGGAATCCAGAGAAGTATCATACACATTTTGCTATGAACTTCAAGAAATTCCGTTTTTCTGCAAGGATTGTGTGGTATTTGATTGACCGTGACAGGAATCATTTAGAGAGTTTTCTTCACAACTCCAACAGTAGATTTGTGCAACATGCATGCTATCAACTTCGTGAGTATGTTCAGGCGCGTGTTGCAGTTTCTGATCCCTTGTATGAGATGATCAAGAAGGAAGAGTTTGAACGCCAATACAATTCCAAGTTTTTGGAGGCGATTTCTTGCTCTCGTGTTGTAGTTGAGCCTGTAAGTTCAGGGACGTATGAGCCATCATCGAAGCTGAACTTAAAGGTACTACAAGACATCCTGAAGGGTATCTTCAAGATCCAGAAGGATGAGGAGCTTGCCAAAGAACGTGATGAAGAAGAAGAACAGGCAGCTCAAAACATCTCATACCTGTTGGCAGATGATATGGAGCTTGATTTTGATGATGATGATGTTCCAGTATGGCGCTCCATTGTCGACAAGTATAGAGGAGGTGATCAGGTGCTACAGGGAGAAGCTGTGAAGATTACTCACCTGTTCAGGGATCAAAAGGACAATGAGAAGGCGACAGAAGCTTTCAGTTCAGAGAGGACAGATTTTTATGAGACCTCAGGACCTCTTCCAAGAACCGAGGGAGAAAATCTTGTAGAGGACTTGCTCACCAAGGATGTTGCAGAACAAGCTTTTGAAGCAGGTGAAGAAGTTCCTCCTTATACAAGAGTCTCCACTATCGCTGGTGAGGTCTATACTGGAAGTAGGACACTTCTAGAAGATGAGAATATGGAAGAGGAAGTTCCTGAAGAAGATCCTGCAGTTGAACCTGGAAAGGAAGAAGAAATATTTGATGAGGATGCAGGTGTTTTTCCTTCAGAGGAACCAAAGATGGAAGTGGACCAGGAGGAAGCCAAGGAAGAGTCAACACCATACTTTCTGTCAAGAGAGATAGGTGAGGACTCGACTGCATCGCACTTACCATCAGGTGAGATGGATGCTAACCTTGATGATACTCTACGTCTGCCGAAATCTAAGAAAAGCCGCCTGAATAAAATACCTGATCCTCATTTTCATGAAGAGGTTCAGGATGATGCAACCATGGAAGAGAAGAAAGAGGCGGTGGAGAAAATAAAAGAGGTCAGAGAGGATGATGGAGAGAAGAAATTGGAGGCTGAAATCCAGGAATCTTTTCCATCTGAAGTAGTTGTTGAAAAGGATACAACAAAAGTTGACAATACCTATGAGTTGCATACTTCACCTTTGAAGTTGCTTGGAGAGCTTACAGGAGATCCAGGTATTGGCCTTTATCAACAATGCTTCAGGGAAACTCACGCAAGATTGCTGAATCATGTTTGTTTCAGAAAAGGTGAGATTTCCCATCCTCATTATCAGTCAAGGATCAACGAGAATGATTTTGTTCGATCCATTCGTAATATCTGTCCAGTACCTCCACCTGATTGTTATGAACATGAACCAGAGCATGATTTGAAGAGATTCTTTATCAATGATGATCGCATCATTTATTTGGATGGCAAGTATCAGGTCGATCCAAAGGCCCTTGAAAGGGCAGGTCATGCTCGAGAAGAATTGGAGGATACGAAAAAGGAACTCAAGAAGGAACTGGAATCATATGGTCCCAAGGGACCCAGTTGGGACTTTGTCACCTTCTATGAAGAGCTGTGCAGAAGGTTCCTCAAGGGAAGAATAGAAGAACCATATGGAACTAACTTATTGGCCAGCTCAGAGTCCTTGACATTTTTATCCTGGAACTATGGCAACATGGTTCGTGGTCAGAAGTACACCACACCAAGGTTTCTCCAAGGACTTGATAGTGCAATGAGGCCACGCAAACAGAGCGCCATGTCACTTCAGAATGAGCAATTTGAGAACAACCTTTTCTTCAACATGCTCTTCTTTTTACGTGCACATGTCGTGATTCTCCAGGAAGCTCATCTTCTTGTTCCTGCCAAGGAATTTATTGAGCAAAAGAATTGGACAGTTTGTTTCAATGATTGGGAGAATCTTGCAGTGATGGCTAGATTGGCACCAGGTGGATATGTCAAGATCATTGCTGGACATGATCAAGAACTTGGTCATTGTGAACAGCGTGATGTAACTTGGGCTATCTACGAGATTTGTTTTGGAGAAACAAGGCCTCGTCAAGATTTCAAGGATGCAGACTTTGAATTTGATGACTATGGTCCTGAGGACAAGCGTGTTCCACTTACTCGAGCGAACATGCACACCATCAGAGTCTGTAATTATCGTGTTGATACACACCGTGCTGTGGATGCCCACCTACTGACAGGAGAACAGACAGCATTGATGCTTTACGAGTGTTTTGTCTATGAGGTGGACATCATTTCTGGTGATGCAAATAGTTTGGCCTACAGAATGTCTGGGTACAAAAGGCAGCCAATGGCTAACTACTATTACAGCACCATGCAGCATTGGATCCGCAGGTTTTCAGAAGCTCGTGTAAAAGCAGATCCTGGTATCAAAGCACCAATTCCCAGAACATTTTACAGTTCAACTTCACAGGTCCTCAAGAAGTGTGAAGTTTACTTTGATAAACTCTGGGAAGAATATTCTACTGTTGAAAAAGAAGAATACCAAGGATCACAGCTTGGCGATACATGTTTGTCTACCATTGTTGAATGGGGTCATTCAATGAGTGAAGAGGAATATGAAAATTCCACAGTGAGCACGAAGGAGTTCATCTGTAATTTTTCAGAGAACTTTGCTACGACTGACACGGAGGTTATGTGCTCAAGGCCCACTGACGAGGACAGTCATGGTCCAATGTTTATTTCACTCAGACCAGCTTCCTTTTCATCTGGAGACAGAAGACAGTATCGCATGGGAGCAACTCTTCATGAGGCGAAACTGCGGAGGAAGGAGAAACAGAAAGAGAATAAAAGGAAAGGAAGGCCGCCAACTTCTGGTCAAGCAGCTTCATCGTCTGCAGCGGCATAATTCCTGAGCGAAGGCTGAAATTTAAATGATGGCTAGGAAGTGATGATACTTCTGGTTACAGTTGATACTTTGCTTCCAGGCTTGACTTTAAGTTGCCGGGCTGAAGTTTTAAACTTTAGCAGGTAGATATGGACAGTTTTGCATAACTGATGGTATCTATCACCGCCGCTTTTTCTGAGATGACCTCTAATGGACAACCATTCATGGTTGATGATTAAGTCATTTCATGATTTGCAATTGTAGTGCAAGATTTTTGTACATACATTTGCCGGTATCTCCTTCTTGTGTTTTTGATGTCAATGAGAAAGAGTCCTTTTGATGCAGTCTTATTTTGTCTGTGGATGAAAGCGGTCGAGACCACGTCACGAGAAGATTATTCCTCGGACCGTACGCTCCTTGCATTTTGCAAGGCATTTTAATTAATTGCATTTGCGCGGTCTTGAATTTGTAGTTCTTTGTTACGCGAGTGTCGTTTGATTCTTTTATAGGTCTCTGTAGAGAAAAAGCCGCTTTCCCTTTTTAGTTTGATTTAGCTCAGGCCATAAAGAGCTAGTGAGCGCCGGTACATGGTATCTCCGCCTGTGAAAAGTACAGTCTCCAGCCGAGGTACATTATCGTTTTGATTTTGTACTTGAGGTGAGTCAGCTATTGCTCCCTCACTGTATTTAGTAGCTTTGAGATTACCTTCTCTATAGTGTGAAACACACTGGATTAGGTAAGTACATGGCACCGTAGTTTTCTTTTAAGTTGTCAGAGCTAGCTGGACTGTTTTAGCCTTGCAGTAGAAAAAGAGTATGCGACATACGCAATCAGCTAGGAGTGGACATGAATCTTGTGCCTGCTGAAAAGTAGAGCCTACCTGTACAGGGCTCCACTCCAACAGCCGATATAGTGTGTCCATGCTTGACTGCTTCAAGGCTCAAAGAGCAAGAGGATAAGACTCTGCGCATAAAAGACACTAGCGGTCTGCACCTCTACCGTGTACGCCCTAGTCACTCTTTCACCCCCCGCCCCCTTGGAATTGATTTTCAATACAGCCCCCCCCCTTCCCCCCCTCTAAAATCAATTCTCTCCTGGAGAACGCCTTCGTGAGCCTCTCATGATTTCAGGATAGTTGAAACCCTCTTGAACATTCAGAAAGAGTGAATATGAAATTCTAATCACGAAAGGTGTTCCCCGAGGGGATACATACCTAGAGTTCGTTTTGTGAAGCACGTCAATTCTCTCCTGGGGAGCGTCTTCGTGAGCCTCTTATGGTTTCAGGATAGTTCAAATCCTATGATGTTCCGATTCAATGCTCACCGATGATCTGAGCCATGGGGCAAGTTTGTTTTCCTAAGATTTTTTTGAACATTTCAAGAGCACATGTTTGAACATTTAAAGCATATGAACATATATTTACGAAAGGTCGCCTCCGAGGGGATAAATCACCATGTCGAACATTGCATTTTTGTTCCTGCCTCTCGCGTTCTCTTCTCTTCCCGCTGTCCTACCTTTCGTGTCTCCCTCCTCTCAAGTTGGACATCCCTTGGATGGTCCTGGTATTGTCACCTTAGTATATCTTAGCCATTCCCTCGCCGCTAGGGTTACGAGAAGAGGATAGAGAAGAGAACAGTCTCCGCTGCCGGTGGAGAAATCAAGGCATGATTTGTTCTTGCGGTTTGAGTTGTGTGCTTCAGTGTTTGACATTGTGAGAGACTTGAGGCCCTCAATGTGATGTCGGTAGGTTGCATTTTTCTTGTGCTAGGTGGACAAACGCAGAGAACTCATTGTAAGGCGCGGCATGGAACAGCAGCTTGTTGTTTGATAGTTCAGCATTCCCAAGCAATATCCAAGCAAGTGTGCACACGTCAAGGCGCGCTGCCAAAGAATTGAAGGATGGCATGTATGTCAACCTTGGCATCGGCATGCCAACGTTCCTTGGCCCATGAGGGATTCAGAAACCCGAGAGTCCCAATAGATCGCCAAGTTCCGGCTGGATTTTCTTCCCATCACCTGTAACCCTCTTCCATCGTTCCTGTCCATTCGCCTTCCGTCAAGGGCAAGCGGCTCACGCCGAGGCTGGTGAGCAACTACACAGCCCCGGGCGTCCGCATCGAGCTGCAGAGCGAGAATGGACTCTTGGGCATTGGCCCCTACCCCTCCGAAAGCGAGGCAAGGAGTTCGTAAAAAGGGCGTTCAGCGTTTGGGTCTTTGTGCGTTTCGGCGATTGGTGGTTGACATATATGGTTGGAATCCGAAAGTGCACGAAAGCTATTAATAGCTATTTTGTTCGTATGCATTTCGGCCTTGCTGAGTGTACCCACGTTCACTTTCAGACATTTCAGGTGAACCCCGACCTCATCAATGCGGGCAAGGCTTGGGGGCTTGGCTTGGGGGTTCTTGGGGCCCATTTCAGCGGTGCGATGTCTCAGGGGAGATCCCGGTTGCCAGCTATATCCAAATTGAAGTTGACGTGAGAGGAGATCCACACACCCATCCCCCCAGACTCACCACACATCCACTTGGCTCTCACATCTCCTTAATATGTTATTTCATTTGACATTAAGTTATGACACGTTTTGACGACCTGGCCGCCATGCCTCCTCCAGCTCGTCGTCCTCCCGTTGTTCGTTCGGCGTCCCCAGGAGACCGTGACCATGATCCCCGGCTCGTCGCTCTTTTCCTCCTCCGAGTCCTTCGGAATGATCCGCGGGACCGGAGCGCCCAGTCCAAACCTCCGATCCGCGCGTCGACCGGGGCGAAGCCGACCGGATCACGCCGAGGTTTGAGGGTCCCGTGAACTCGTGGGCGGTCCCGTTCGCCGGGGGCGCTGAGGTCTAAAGTGGATGTGACCATTCTCGGTGCCATGGAGGTGCGGACTCTTGGAGTCGGTTGGAAGACTGAAGGCGTCGAAGGGATGTTGGAGACTGGATGACCAGGCGTGCTGGGCATGGCTCCATCCCACCACTGATCAGAGCACGCATAAAGTGTGATATATAGAGTCCTAGAGGGAGCTACAGTTTGGGTTTGCACGTGTTTCCTGTTGGATTAAATTTGTCTTACTTTCACCTACTTCTGGATGTCGTTGTCTCAGCATTGGTTGGATCAGTTGGATCACTGACCATTCCATTCCTTCCAGGGCTAGAAGCCAGAAGGAATATCAAGCAATCAGGTTTCACAAAGATGCAAGGACCCTACTAGGGGCTCCTGGCATCGCTACTAGGAGCAAAGGGCATCGCTACTAGGAGCAAGGATGCTGCTAGTAGCTCCTGGCCTTACTATATACTGGAACAAGAAGCTACTAGGAACAAATCTATAATGCAAACTGCCCTTCCGATGCCGCATTGGACGTGTTCCCTTCGGCCCTTCGGCTTTGGAAGGGCCGTTGGACGAAATCCCCAGGTGGCAGCCAATGGCGACTTAGCCAACTGGATCATTCCGGGGAAGATGGTCAAGGACTGTCCGCACATGGCACTGATGTGCTGTCAGTTGCAGTTCACGCATTTGGGAGAACAGTCCGGGGCAAGAACCCGCAAGGCATGAATGATCACCGAAGGAGAGGGTCTCGGCGTTGAACGGGTAGCCTGAACTGTTAGTTGCTGTATAGTTCAATCAAGCCGTGCCTCTCTAAGCTTATCCCATCACATATCAATCTGGATTTGGATGTTTTTTGTGTTCAGTTTGTGTAGAGTTAGGATGGACTTAGGCGAAGCATACCCTCTGACCCTCTGAAAATACATTGTACTTAAAATTATGTCTTTGGATAGCATGCTTTTGTGCTACCTCCGAAGCCTACCCCCGAAGAGTAACCTCCGAAGCACTAAAAAGCGTCCCAAGAACATACACCGTAACGCCGTATCACCCTTTTTGCGTTTTGACCGAATACCTCCGGCTGCGAACGAAGCTCGCCTTCGACCGGCCCGTCCATCGGAGGGCATGGGCGGAGCCATGGACTTGGTCTCCAGCGACTCCAAGGTGTTGGTCGCACCGGGGCCCAGGGGACAGGTGGAGGGCGACACGACGTGACAGGAGACAGGTGCCGCTGGTGGAAAGAGGTGGAGACAGTGAGATGACCTGAGATGTTTGAAGAGGAATCAGACTAGTAGTAACATGTGCATAGCTAGTAGTAGCTTCTTGCTACTAGTAACGCAATAAGACATGTAGTGAGGTTTGCTCTCTCTGTAGGCCACAAACCGAGTCCGAAGACGAAAGGCGAAGCAGTGAAGACAGCCGGGTTGATGACATTCTTGCTTTTGTTGGCTAAAGAAATCAAGGATTCAATATTGTTCAACTTGTCAAATTATCCACTGGCCTGCATGAGGTCATGGAACATGTGGCGAAAGGCAACAAGCACAAGCTTAAGCCCAGTGTGAAGCTCAGACGGCTCCAGCATACTTCGGCGTTCGCCTTCTACTCAAGGACAAGGAGCCTGAAGATCATTGAGTACTGGTTTGAGTTGGATGAACCGGAGATGAGAGGTAGTCTTTTTTGTGGATCCAATTCTCGTGAACATAGTTTACTTCCAGAACAAGAGCGGGCGGCTACTGGCCAATCAACAGTTGGTCCTCAAGGGCCGGGCATATCATGCAGCTCCGAGGTAGTGAAAAAGGGCTGGTAGTTTGGTGGTCGGAGGTGGTAGGTGAAAAAGTGGCATATGAATTGCAGGTACTTCGACTTCGTCCGTCTCTTTGAGAGCATGAGTGAATCTCTTTTCTGCCGCGCGTGAGGCTGCAGTCTTCCGCTGACGGGCCAACGGGTGACGGGGCTGCAGCATAAAACAGGTAAAAGAGGATTGTGACAGACTAGACCTGTCCAAGGGGTCCCATGCTTCAACACTCTGGGACTCTGGGTTAGTGAGGGATCCCATGCTTCAAAAGAGTTTTTTCAGGGACAAGAGATCATCACATTGTTAAGAAGTCACATGTTGATGCCTCAGAAGGATTTCATGTAATGTTGACGTATGATTAATCAATAAAGGGACCCGGAATAAAGTTAGCCGATCTGCGTCCTGATGAATACAGGGACCCGAAATAAAGTTGGCACTTGTTTTAATGATTATTGTTTTAATTACTTTGTTTTTATTTGTTCACAATCCCATTTCCGGTAGTTGAGCCACTATCTTTGCGTGCATCCCCGATTGATTTGCTTGGAATGCCAATGTCGCAATTGGAACTGGGTGAAAAGGCCTTCATCCTGGATGTGATTGGCCTACCTCTGCCTAAAAGGGTTGCAGTCCATGTGGAAAAAGAGGGCACCTTCCGATCCATCATCACAAAACTGGGTATCATGTCGACTTGCCAGGCAAGAAGTACTTTGTGCTATTTGGAAGTCTCGAATCACGGTGAAGTGAGATATTGGATGAATGATCAAGTCGTTGATGAACTACATGGTACAAGTATGCTGCTCCACATCTCCACTGTTCAGGCTTGCAGAAATGATGAGCTGGATAGAGGACTTGGGCATCTGCCAGGAGACGAGACGACATTGTTCCAGCCAGCCCTCCACCAGAGGATGATGCAGCTTCCAACTACCTCTGAAACCAATGCTGGGGGGGACCAATTTGAGACGATGATACAGCAGAATCTTCGATGGCACGCGCTGAGAAGAAGGGTTGCAAGATTGACGCGATTCCTACAATTTGATCATCTGCGAGAAGAGGCAATGGCCTTCCGAGCTGCTAGAGGCCGATGGCCTGATATTGTTCTCTGTGGCGTTATTGCAGATGAAACTTCCTTTTGGAACCTGGAGATTGATGGAATGCTCGAGTCAGCATCCTTTGACAAAGAAGAGGTGCAAACACTGCTGCGAGACTTTGTTGAACCCCCCGTTTCCCAAGAAGGAAGAGTGACAATGGCAGCTGTCAAGCCGCTACCCACAGTACATGAACAGAGTGGTCAGGACGACCTCTATGTCATAGTTGGAGAGGAGCTTCGACCCGATGAAGTCCTGGCTTTGATAGCGGTATGGGACTCTCGAGTTGAATCGGAAGTTGAGCTCCATCCTGTTGAGCTCCCCCCTCGTATGACGACTGCGGCACTATTGCAGTCCTTTGGATTGGAAAGCCGATGCTCTCTTCCCTTTTTGGACTGTGTTGTTTCTCATTCCGGCATGGAGATGCCCAGAATCTTCTCATGGACACCATTCCAAGGTATGAAGATTGTCATTGAGATCAACGTGAGGGCATGCCCGCTGCCTGAGGTGACATTCCGCACTCTCATACGACCGCCATCAACGACAGACGATGAGGAATCTTCCTTGATGCAACTACATACTTTGGTTGATGAATCATTGCACAGAGTATGGGATTATGCACGGGGCTGGACCCGGGGTCGACTGGATATGACAGCATGGTTGTTCCTTCAAGGAGAGCGGAAACAGCCCTTTCCTTCCATTGCTGTATTTGATGTTCAGAGACGCCTTTTTGTGGAAGGTGAGCCTGCACATGGGACTCCTCTGAGCTATATTGCTATTGACCCTCCACCGATTTTCATTGCCTTGCCGAGACCGCACATCTTCGCTGTGCAAGCACGTGCCCAGACAGACTTCGCTGTCCTGTGCCGAGTACAGGGGGACCGGCATGACCTCCTGGCAATTCTGGTGGATACTGCGCACGCCCCAGTCGGGGTTGATATACTCTTTGATCTAGCTGTGCTTGGTCATGGATGTAGAGAATCTGACCTATGCTATGCCATCATCTCTGGTGATCGCAAAGCTTTCCACCATGATGTCGAATTGACTGATGGGATCTTTGTGCAGCTATTCCTGTGGGAGTATGAGGCAGAACAGAGCACCTCGTGCGGTAGTTCATCTCCCCGCACAGAAGGGTCACGTCATGACAGCTCCGATGAATCTATTGTTCCATCTTCCTTGCATAGAGCGAATGAGGAAGTCCATGATGAAACAAGCATGATGCAGTCCCAGCAGAGGCTTGTACCTGATGACGGATGCACAGCCCGCTCACAAGAGAGATTGATGCGATGTTCAGAGATGGGACTGTCCTGGTTGGTTCCTGCTCGACTCCATCAACAGCAAATGTACAATCTCTGGAAGTACTCTGGTCGAGACCATGTAAGAGAGTATTTCATTCGACAGAGGTACCTTGGGTCGGGCCTGAGCATCCGAGGATGGTTGTTCCACGACCACCAACAAACCACGGGACAACCTTGTGCCTGGGGTTTGACTGACAGTACTCCTTGGGCGCATCAGACAGGACATTTACTTCGTGGAACTGTCCTTGATGATGTCCTCATGTATGCGGTGGTCCCACAACCAGAGGACTTCCAACTGCCTGATCCGGCCAGTATGCAGATCATCATCCCATCAGCAATTACGGACCATCTATTCCAGGTCTTTGTTGTGGAACATGCCTTCAGTGGAACACAGACCAGGCAAGCACTGCGTCTTGAGGTCCCGATCACTGTTCGACAAGTTTTCCAAGCCAGTGGGTACGGATGCCTGTGTGATGTGGAGACTCGTTGCACGTTGCAATACATGCATGGAAATTGCCAGAAAGTCTTCACGGATGAAGAGGATGTCTTACTGCCCTTTGCCTCTTTCGTGAGGATCATGGTGCATTGGATACCTTCCCTACCGTGCGTGCCATTCCAGCCCTTGGCGACGAGTGATGTTGTTGCCAGACAGGTGGCGGCGGCTGTGCATCCCGCTGAGACCTTTTCCTATGACCGGGCGGTCCGCCAGGCACGTGAAGTGATGGCGCACGTGGCAGGAGACGATGAAGAAGATGATCCCACTATGCTCATGGTCAATGCGCACCAGGCTCGAATGTACCTCCTCGAGTATGCCTCGGCCAGACAGAGACAAAGGAACTTCGATCTTGTGGTCCATGTTCTCTTCCATTCATTCGGGCACACGAGAGTGTCAGCAGCTTGCTGTCCACAATGGCTATTGCAAAATGATGTACCGATTGCTAGATTTCTTGACTGGTGCCAGGAGTACACAAGGAGGTTGGACGAACGCCATTCAAGACTCTTTCATGCGGTCGGTGAAATCTACCAGAACATGCCGACATTGATTGTTGTCTATTCGATGGGAGATTTCACTATCCCTGTCATTGTGCAAGTTCTTGACCCTGACTCCACGAGCCCGCCCTTCGTCGCTGTCTACCTTGCTGGACCTAGTGTCTGTGTTGCGACAGTGGTTGGATGGATCCGTGAGCAGATGGAGCTGGCCCCAGCTGTCTTCAGATACAATGGGAGGCAGGTTGCGTGGCGTGAGGTCCTTACCCTAGTGGCAGGAGGGATTTTGCAGATACGGATCCTTAGTGATGAAGAGCTGAACAACCCTGACACCTTTACACAAGAACCAGGACCTGGGATGACTCTGACATTTGAACCTCACAACACATGGTCCTCTACTGGGTCGAGCCTGCAGTATGATATACCTCAGCATACGCTTGGCCTTGATGGCAGATTGAGACCCTATGTGCCTGCTCCATATCCTGCAGATCAAGAAGGGTATCCTCTGCTGCGACAAGAGGATGAGGAGACCACTTTCATCCAACAAAAAATGACTTCCAGGTCAGTGCTGGTGGAGGAAGAGCCTCAGGATGAATCGACGAATAACTTTGTTTCTGATGCGATTCCTTGGATGTTGGGAGACAACACTGCAACTCCCACTCATGGGAACCAGGAACATTGGCAATACCATGGGACATCAAGAAATGCTTCTGGATACGGCTGGTCAAGGTTTGGACGGTTTCCTCCTTGGATCCAACGGCCCCCTGATCGAGACCTCCAGTTGCATTGGACGCGATCCCCATCAGAAGGCTTACGGCCACCTGGAAATCCCACATGCTGGATGAATTGCAACCTTGATGAAATGGATGAATGGGCGATGGTGGGAGGAGTCGAATTCGTGACTGATTTCAATCCCTCTACCTGTCACGAGGGACAAAATATGGGCTGTCTGCCTGTCGAAGAAGATCAACCATGTAAGATTTCTATCTTCGAGGCATTGCACCCTCGAGACACGACTACCTCCCCAGCCTTCCAGGTTGAAATGCCAAGCTTCGCTTCCTGGATTGAGGCTGTTTTTGTCAAGCGACAACTTCCGAATGTGCCGTGGAATGAAATCACGGAGCACCTAGACACGGACATAGCGGATGAATTTTCCAATGTCAGTCTGGAACGACCCCAAGATGTACCGTATGTTGAGATCTATACCGATGGTTCCTTCTCGAAGGGCAAAGACAAGCTTGCTTCATGGGCATTCGTGGCCTTTTGCCAGGTCGGCACCCAGAAGTACATGCTAGGAATGGATTACGGACTTGTTGACCCAGACCCACTGTCATCCGCATGGACGGGGGCAGGGTCCTCGACAGCCAGAGAAGGAGAAAATGACGCATTGATCCGAGCCTGTGAATGGTCCTTTGCTATGGGCTATGAAGTGCCCCACTATTTCTATACTGATTCCACTGCAGCTGGGTATGGGGCCAGCGGCGCTTCTGGAACGTCAGTAGATGATCTACAAGGACGCCTGAGTAGAAGCCTTGCGAAGGCATTGGATACATGTCTGCGTATGACGGAGGTGCATCGTTCCCATGTCAAAGCCCATAGTGGTATTTTTGGCAATGAACTGGCAGACGCTGTCGCAAAATGGGCATTCCAGCAACAACCTGAGGAGGTGCATCCACGTCCTGACTATACGGCATTACTTTGTGGACGCCGCATGGCAGTGGAGTTCCTATGGATGTTGTTTACTCCATTTTCTGACCAAGCCAGCATGACACTTCCCCGA